GTCAGATGTGGAGGACAGTCTCAGAAGACCCAAGAGCCACGCCTGGTGACGGGCGGTGTGGCGCACGCTGGCAGTTGGGATTGAACCATGGGATCTGGGCTGGGCAGGGCCATTTGTAGGTGATAGAAGGCAGGTGCAGCTAAAGCCAGGGTTTGAGTGTGGGAAAGAGGCAAGTTAAAGACAAGGACTGATGGGCCAGGGAGGGCCACGCTGTCCTCTCGACTGGACCCTGGGGTGAGCTTGGGCAAGTCGTTTTCCTCTCAGATCATATATGTTATCTTCTCTGAAACAGATTAAAAAATAATAATAATGGATTTACTTCTGTTTGATGGTTGAAAGTTCTTTGCCAGTGTAAGGAACTACTGATAGTAGGTCTTATTCTCAGGAGAGGGGTGACTCTTGGCATTGTTTCCAGGCTGGAAAGAGAGGAGGGTGCTGGGGAAGAGTTTAGGGGGGCCTCCATGGGGGTGATGATCCCCATCAGGCCGGGAGGCGAGGTTGAGCAGAGGAGGAGGGACAGGGTGGAAAAGGCAGGCACGCTGAGCGGGGGAGGGTTTGCATGAGAAGGGAAGTCATTACACACACGTCACCGGGTGGGGAGGGGCAGGTGCCCTCCGTGAGCCCGGAGCCTAGGAAGCCCTGGGAAGTGACTGCTTTTCCTAACACCCTGTTTTGTACCTCCCCAGCGGGAAACACCATGCAGATCCTGGGTTCAGGAGAATGGACCTCATGCTCACCCCCGGTGGAACATGCTGGAAAACATTCTTGGAAAGGAGAGTGTGTGGGGGACAGACCCCAGGAGGAGAGAGGGCAATCGCAGGGGCCCCAGCAGGGCCTGGCCTCAGCCTTCCCAGAAGGCTCCCCTCAACTCTCTGTGCAGGAGCAAGGGTTCTTTTAGGAGCAAGCTGCTTGTTTCCCACTATGGAAATAATGCATGCTCTGTAAACACGTGGGGGACAGGTAAGCAAAAGGAGGCTGTAGATCACCCTCTGCCCCATCGTCCAGCCAGAATGTGCCCGTGGTGGCCTGCAGCCTGCTCTGTCTCCCAGGGCTGCTGCTTGCCGCCGCCGCAGTCCCAGGCCACTCAACGCGCATCTGCGGTAGCATTTTCAATGCTGTCACAGTTGGATAACAGCGGCCATAATGTGTACGGTGCTCCACAGCTTACAAGACATCCATTATCTACGGCGGCCCTTGACCTTCCCCTGTGGAGGTCTCTCCCTTAGGAAATCCTGCTTCCAAAAGAGGCCGCCCCGCCTCCTGCACACCTGTGCCTCCTTGCAATCCCCCCACCCCGGAAGCCGGTCCAGTCCCAACCCTGCTCGTCCTGCTTCAGCGGCCATCTGACTACCCAGGGTTAGCGTTAGGGTTAGGGTGAGGGTTGGAGAGCTGCTGCCTCGGAGCCCCTCCCCCAGCCCCTCTTCCACCTGACCCAGCTGTCAATCTCTGTCCTCTCTGTCCATCCTTTTCCTGAGGTCTTCCTTGTAAGTCTGACTTTCCTCCCCACGGCTGCCCCAGACTTCTCTGTGTCACCGCTCCTGCCGCCATGTCCCTCTTCCTGTCCAGTTCTCTACAAGGACACAGCTTGAGCCAACCGAGAGGGTGGGGTCCTGAGCAGGTGCTCCCTTGGGATGGGACCCCCCTCTACCCCCAGAAGAGACCAAGCAGACTCTGCCCGTTGTGGCTGACAGGCGGAGTGGGTCAGGTGCCAAAGCCACGCGGATCCCAGGGGCAGGGCGGGGAGGCAGTGCTGGGCGTCTCCAGAGCTTCGGGGGCTGCGTGGAGAGCTCTCCCAGCTCCAGCTCCCTGCCGCCCTGCGTCCCTCTCTTCCGCTGCCCTTTGCCTGCCGCTCCAGGTCCTCTTCACCTCCCTGTCTCCTCCATCCTCCCTGTCTGCCTCAGGGCTGCCCACTCTGGGGAGGGCGAGGCAGCCAGCATTGTCACGTGCCCCTTTCTGTCCTGGCACTTCCGTCGTCATCGTTGTCCTGTGACTGTCTCCCTCCTGCCCTTTGCCTCTTCTCCTCCGTGGCGAGAGCCACTTCCGGTCTGCTGAATTAAGCACCCAGAGCTCCCCGAGGTGCGGATTCAGCTGGGGCTGGGTGGGGGCTGCACCTCTTGGCCTTAGAGAATGGGAAATGTCCTAGAGTTAGGGGGCTCCGGATTCCAGGCCAAGGGTCACCCTGCTCTTTACCACACCCACTCTGAGCACTGGGCCTGTGCCCTCCTGCCTCCTTGGGCAGGTGGGACATCAGAAGTCTGAGCCGTGTGGCTCCTTGGCAGAGCTGTGCTGCAGTCAGTTATCGGGGCAGGCGAGGACGTGGTTTCAGCTCCTGACTCCGCAACTGGGAGGGCAGCAGGTGCCCTCTGCTCTCATTGTGCCCTGCTCACCGCTGGGGGCCCCTGCTCCGACCGTGCATACAGCGGCTGGCCCGGCACCCTCCACTGTGATGCCCACCAAGCTCCCTGTCCTCTGAATTTATGCCCAGTCCCTCCCACTGGGATCCCTGATTTGGCCCTGTTGAGTGGCTCAGAGGTGCTCATGTTCATAGCAGGTAGCCAGGAGAGGACTCAGGTGTTCGGGCTCTCTGGCTCCCCACCTGTCCGTCTCATGAGGATGGGCCGGCAGTGTTGGTCTGCGGGGCTGTGCACGGGGCCTCTGGCTGCCAGAGGAAGAACCCGCTGTGGGCTGATTCTGTGTTACCTCCCCTTGTCCATAGGCCTCGGCACAGTGCACGGACCAGGGTGGAGGGAGCTCCCGCAGCCGACACTAGGCCAGGATGAGTCTGTAGTCTCCACTCTGGGATTCCTGCTACCTGGGCATCCAACCCAGCTCCCTGGGGCATGGAGGGAGCACAGTGTCGCCGGGTAACAGAGGAGACTTTGCCACAGCAGGGCCAGGATGCTGGCAGCTCACATCCTAGTACCCGACTCTTGCTCCCACATGGTGATGTCCAGGCACCACCTCGGCTGCCCCCTCTGCTCTGTGACGGGAGCCTTGAGGGAGAGGCCACTGTGGCCACCCCCACCTCATCGCGCCTCCACCCGGGTCCTGGCTCCATTGAAGAGCTCAGCTGGTACAGACCCCTCCCAACCCCCTCTCCACGGCCTCACTCTGTGCTCCGCACCCCTCAAAGATGGCTCACTTGGTCCTTGAGCTCAGAGGGGATCTGACACCCCTTTGCCCAGATGGAGGACCTGTCACAAGGCCATGGGGCAGTGGAGAAGCGGGTTGTAGACATGCAGTTCTCGAAGTTTCCTCTGTCTTCATTTGGGGCTCCACACCCCGTCCCTGCCACCTGCAGGCTGCTATTATTACTATTGTTATTACCAGCTTGAGTTCTGTCTCAGCTTGGGGGGAGGGGAGGACCCAGAAGTGTGTTGCTGGATCATGTCGGAGACCCTGCCCGTCCCCTTCTGCCTCTGTGGCAAGTGTCCCTTCCTCCCACACAGATCGACCTATTGTCACTCTCTAGCTGCCTCCCAGAGAGCAGACGCATCTTCCTTCTGCACAGCTTGCCTGGACAGTTGGGAAGTCCCCATGAAGGTCAACCTCCCCCTCTCGCTGCCTCATCAAAGCCTCTTCTCTCCTAGGATGTCCTACACCAAAGGTTCTTCCAGGTTAGCCACCTGCTGCTCATCTCTGGAGGTGGAGCTGTCTTTCCTTCAATTCCCAATCCCTTCCTGAAGCTCCTCCCCATCCAGATGTCCAGCCCCGTGAAGGGTGGCAGGTACCAGTGGATGGGAGACGGAGTGACCCCACTGCTGCCCCCAACAGGTACGTGCAGGTGCAGGTGTGCCTGCGGGCTTGGTGTGAGTGTGAGGTCTCAGAGCCAGGGCTCCGGAGGGGAGTGTCCCCTCCTCCACTCTCCTGGAGCCCTCTAAGGACCAGAACACAGGAAGGGGAGAGGACACCTCCTGGACTCTTTTCTCTCTCAGCTGCAGTTCCCATGGCAGCCATCAGGGGTCACTGTTGCCCCAGTCTCCACGGCCAGGCTAGGGAAGGGGAAGGGCGTGGTCCTCACAGGCAGGTCCTAGTTGCCCACTTCGACCCCGACGAAGTAACAGGGTAATTGTTGTTATACAGAGAGGCTCGCACAGACTGGCGCACTACGCTTGGGCCTTGCCTGAAAAAACTGGGGTTTGCGGGACAGCTACTGGAGTGAGCAAATGTGCTTGGTGTGGCCACGTGTGACCCAGCCCCTCCTTCTGCCACTCCCTTCACCAAGGTTTGGCCATTCGATGGCAACTTCCCCTTCAAAGGCCCTCATGGCACTGACATAAAAGTCAGGAAAGTGCATGTGCGCATGCCCTGTGGTGCAGCTGCTGAAGCCACGGCCTGCGGCGCAGTATCTCATAGTGGCTGGTGCCAGTCCAGGCTGCTCCACTTCCCGTCCAGCCCCCTGCCCAGCCCTGGCTGTTGCATGTTACAGCCATTCGGAAAGTGAACCAACAGATGGAAGATCTCTCTCTGTCTCTCCTCTCTGTAACTCTTTCAAATAAATAATAAATACATCTTTCAAAAAAAAAGCCTGGACAGACAGCTGGGCGATGTCAGCGTGCCCCAGGCGTTCTGCCCCGGGGCCAGAGGCTGGCTCCTAGTGTGAGCACAGGAAGCTGATGTGCAGTGTGTCCTGCACAGCAGCAGACGTCACCAGCACCCCTCCCTCGGCCTGTTTCTGTCCTGTGCTGCCTGTGGACAGCCACTGCAGAGGACGGAAGCCAGAGGCAGAGTGGGGGCCCGGCGCTCACACCAAGCCGCCTCCCCGCTGAGTTCAGCCACTTCTGGCCTGAGCCGGAGACAGCGGCAAGATTGTCCCGTGTCACTGCCATGGCAACCCCGGCTGCCCAGGCCCTCACGGAGGTGCTGGTGGACCGCAGCCGATTCATCCTGTATCCCGGCCGTAGGGTCACCACCTCAAGTCCCCCAGGAGGGAGACAGGAAGTTCATCCAGTGTTAACGCCATGTAGATGGAGAGATAATGGGCTGCCCAGGACCAGGGTACAAACAGACCTCAGCATTTATTGTGCCTTCTCCACTCTTCCCGTGGGAGGCAGGGGGTGGGGGGGCGAGGGTGGGGGAGGGGAGAGAGGAAGCCGGGCTCTTAAATCCTTAATAATCCGAGGCTAATAACTGAGGGGGAAGGGGCTGGAAAAGGGGGTGGATGCAACCAAGGGATGCCCCTGGGGGAGGGGGAGGAGCACCAAGCTGGGGGTCCCTGGGTGGGGCAAGAGGAGAGGAAGTGGCTGGGCTGGCCGTTCTCCCTAGGCCAGGCAGCTTAGGGGCAGAGGGATGAGTGAAGAGCAGTGATAATCAAGTGAGTCCCAGAGACACCCTGTCCCAGCATCCTGACTTGGCCAGGGGTCCCCAGCCGGGGTCTGGCTGCTCCTTTGGTTTCAAGCATGTGAAATCAGACATCAGCAGAAGACCTGCTCTGGTCCCCTCCCTCCTGTTCCTGCTCTTGGCTGCCCCCTCCCCCCACCCCGGTCCCATCCCATCCCATGTGAGTAGGGGCTGGGGGGTTGGGGTGTGTGAACATCCGGGTACCTCCCGGCCACAAAGGTCAGGTCTCTTCCTCTCTGCCCATGGGAGGCCGGTAAGCTGGGGAAGGGGTGCCCCTCAGTGCCCTGGGCCCCCCGTTTTGGGGGCTGCAGTCCAGGGAGGGCCCTTTGGGGTTGGGTGAGGAGTCGGGCTCTGCGTCGGCGGGCAGCAGGGAGCCCCGGGCACCCCGGCACGCTGGGCTGTAGTAGAAGGAAAGCAGGCGGAAGGAGGGCCGAAGCTCCTCCTGTATGCTGTCCAGGATGTGGGTGAAGGTTGGACGCAGGCGCGGGTTCTGCTGCCAGCAGCGGCTCATCAGCTCCTGCCTGGTGGGCGTGGGAGCAGAGTCATAGGGGGCCTGGACCCTCAGCCTCCATCGGTGCGAGTGGGGGGAGCGGCTGGCAGCGGAGGGGGGCGTTTAGAACTGGGGACCTCATTGTTGCGCATCAGTGGAGGCAGAAGCCTCAGAGGAGGTGGGCAGGGCAGAGGGACGAGGAAGGGCCGGGCCGAGGCTACTCACAGCTGAAGGGGACAGCTCTCCAGCTCCTCCAGGACCCCGCCGTCCATGACGAACTTGAGCACCTGCTCGTTGGAGAGGCCCTGGTAGGGCTGCTCAGCCAGCGTCACGATCTCCCAGAGCACCACACCGAAGGACCTGGAGCACACACAGGAGGGCCCGCGCTCAGCCCCTGTCACGCTGCTCCGCGGACCCCAAGGCCGGGACGTTCTAGGCCCCTCCGCAGAGCCCCACCAGACATCCGAGTGGGTGGTGAAGACTCCATCCTTGAGGGACTCGGGGGCCATCCAGCGCACAGGCAGCAGCCCCTTCCCACCCTTGCGGTAATAATCTGTCTCATACACGTCCCGAGTCATCCCGAAGTCTGCAAAGTGAGGGTAGAGCAGGGCGTGGGCCTGAGAAGTCACCCCCAGTGTCCGCCCCGGGGGTACCTCTCCCAGCCTCCCCTCTGTCTTCCTAGATCACCCTGTAGAAACCCATCTTCCCTGGGATGAGGAGACTGGGCTGGGGGTGACCTGCTGGCTGTCAGGGTTGGAGATGTGGGCCAAGCCTGGGGTTCTTAATGCCTGGCTTAGGGGCATCTCTCTATACTATTCAGGCTGCCCCTATCTGCCTGGTACCCACTGTACCCCCAATCTTGACGGTCAGGTCCTGGGACACCATGCAGTTGCGGGCTGCCAGGTCTCGGTGCACAAACTTGTTGGCGGCAAGGTAGGCCATGCCATCTGCGATCTCACCAGCCATCTGCATCATATCGCCCAGAGCTGGCCGTGGGAGCCCAGGGTTGTTCTAAGCCAAGAGAGGGAGCTGGTGAGGAGGAATGCAGAGGCACGATCCCTGCCCGAGGATTAAGTCCTCTCTGCCCACCCCATGCCCAAGTCTCCTCTAACTCCCCAGCCCCGTGGCCCTGATCGTCCAGGTCCCCACCTCTGCCTCAGGTCGCAAAGATCGAAGATGGCTCTTGAGGTCTCCACGGGTCATCAACTCCATGATGACCAGAGTTGGCTGACCCTGAGACACCACACCTAGGAGACGTACCTAGAATGGACAAAGAGCTTGACTGTAGGTCCACTCAGCTCCCCGTGACCCACAGGGCCAAAACCTTGACCTACTGTGACTATAACTTGACCCAGACACCAACCCTGACCCTAACCTCAACCATGACCACAAGCCTAATCCTGACCTCAAAATGGCCCTGACCTTAACACATGACCTTGGTCAAATTTGACTATTATATCAATTATGAACTTGGACCAACACAGACCTAGACCCCAGTCATGAACCCAATAATTATCTGGACCCTCAGTACTGACCCCCGAGCCGTGACTGAGCTCAGCCCTAGCCATGACCCTACCCTGGCCCCGTTTGACTCTAACCCCCAACCATAAACTTTGCCCCAGTGAGGGTCCTAACCTCACTCCCAGCTCTGACCTGGAGGACACCCTGACCTCCTCCGTGCTCTTTTCCCCTTACCACATGGCCTCCGCCCCAGTGACGACCCTGGCAGTGCCCCGACCCTCCCTTACCACATGATGACACTTGAATGCCTTCATGACAGACGCTTCCTTGAGGAACTCGATGCGCTCCCGTGGGCTGGCCAGCTCATTCACCGTCTTCAGGGCCACGGGCGTGGACTCCTCCCCAGCCTCAAGGCCTTGCACCAGCCCCTCATAGACCATCCCGAAGGAGCCCTGGCCCAGTTCCCGGATTATGGAGATCTGCTCCCGAGGCACCTCCCACTCGTCAGGCACGTACACTGAGGGAGGCAGGATGCTGCTGGCGCCACGCCCCCACCCACTTCTCTCCTGTCTCCCTGCCCCGCCCCTCCTGTCCACCCCCCAGACCTACTCTCAGAGGCGCTGAAGTACTCTGGGTTCACAGAGGTATACAGGGTGCTGTTTCTGCAGTGGGAGGCGAGGCATTCAGGCCAGAAGGGTCCAGAAGGAACGTGCAATGTCAGAGGACAAGGAGGCAGGACCTCAGGGAGGAGGAGAACTGGCCACAGCCCAACCCCGGTCTGGGGGAGCCCAGGGAGCCCCCCAGGCTGGGAACAGGGAGAATGCAGAGGTCGAGGGGCCAGGCCAGGCCGCCCTTTGCCTCTTGGAGGGCTGACATGGAGCATCCTGGGACAGAGCCTAAGGTGACCAACCGTCCCAGGGGGCCCAGACTGGGGATTCCCAGGAGGCGGGACTTGGACCCTGCCCACCAGCAGAGTCCCAGGTTCAGCAGGAAGAACTGGTCACCATGGCCGAGAGGCATGTCCCCACGCCAGCCCCCAGGGGACGGTGGCTGACTGTAAGGAAGTCCTTTCTGAGGTCTCTCCTCTGCCCCTGCGTGCACTGACCTCACGAGGAGGGCTCAGGGAGGGGGCGGGAGCCAGGGGCTCTGTCATCACCTCTTCTTTCCATAGAAGAGACCCAGGGCGGCGAGGACGATGAGCAGCATGAGGCCCACGGGGGTGACGGTGAGGAGCACATGCAGGCCCCCGGAGTCCTCCTCCTCTGCTGGTCGGAGGACAGAGTTAGGGGGCAGCAGAGGGCAGGATTTCTCGCACTGGGAGGTGGGGATTAGGGAGGCTGGAAAGCAGGGGCCTGTGGTAGTGGGGGGGGGACGGAGGGGCAGGGGGGTCCCCCTGTGGGCAGTCTGGGGACAGAGGCTGTATACCTGGGCCAGGGATGTAGAAGGCCACACTCTCTGTCCAGGAGCCATTGCCAGCCAGTGAGGTCGCTCGAACCCGGGCAGAGTAGTTGCCAGGGGGCAGCAGGGCCAGGTGGACCCCACCGAACTTGGCATACCGCAGACGGGACACGCACAGCACAGTGGCTTCCTGAGGGGAACAAGAAACAGGTGGCTGGGAAGGGATGGGGGCACGACAAGGAGGCTGGGATGCGGGTGCCCCGGGGTACCCACCTCTCCCAGGCGGCGGTACTTGATCTCGTACTTGAGGACCAGTCCGTTTGGGTCCGGGGGCTCAAGCCAGCGCAGGAGGACGCTGCTCCGGCTGGCAGCCTCCCAGGCCACCTTCCCGGGGATACCATCGGCCTCTCCTGCGGGAGGGGCATCTGGCAGCCAGGCCACAGTAGTTCCTCTCACCTCCATACTCAAACCCAAGCGAAACTGGGCGAAACTGAGAGGTTTGGGGCAGCTCTGGGATTATGGTGACCAGGAGGGGCGAGCAAAGCTGGGGGGGGTCTGGAGCCAGCGGGAGGTCAACCCGGCCAGGCGGGGCATTCGTTGCACGGGGTCCTTGGGGTCAGTGGTGGTGGTGCGGGTGTCACCTACTGTGCGGCATCGTGCGGGCAAAGACGAAGGTGGCGGCGCTGCAGCCCACGGTGTGCGCTGCGTGGTTGCAGGCGTGGATGTCGATCCGGTATTCGGTGAAGTGGCGCAAGCCACTCAGCACCGCTCGCTCCCGGGGCACCTTGTCCTCCTGGATCTCGAAATCCGAACTGTTGCCCCCGAGTCGGAGGGTCCCGGCGGACCGGCGGTGCCGCCCCGAGTCGCTGGGGAGGGCGCGGGTGAGAGCAGCGATCCCGTCCCGGAGCCACGCCCCCCCCAACCTCCCGCCCCGTCCTAGCTCACCTTTGGGGACTCTTATTGATGGACGTGACCTTCCAAGGGGATCTAGGAAGGCCAGGGGGGCTCTTATCAGAACTCGCTCGGGACGGGGCCTGCACCCTCGGCTGCCACCCACAGCCTCCGGACCCACCTGTAAGCCAGGCCCCGCCCACAAAGCCCCACCCCCTCTCCGGCCCCTTCCCGTCAGCCTGCGCCGGGTCGCACGCACTTGGGGATGGTGATGGCATTGTGTAGAAAGTTCTCAAACTTCTTTTGGAACGAAGCCTCTTGCGCTTCCAGCGGGGGCACGACCTGCCCAGGGTGTGGGTGCTGGCAAGGGCAGCAGCCCGGCTCCGTCTCGGCCTCAAGTTCCCCGTCCTCACGGTCGAAGCGCGGGTCGGTGTTGCTGGTGGGCAGCCGCAAGCCTGGCGACAAGGCGGGCAAGAGGACAGTTAGGTGAGGTCCCCGCCCGGCTCCCCGCTGCCCTGCCCTGCCCTGGCGCCCCGCCCCGGCACCGCGGTGGCAGTAGTCGTTGAGGTAGAGGTCGGCGTCCTCTGCCAGCCGCTGCCACAGCACCAGGTAGTAGGTGTTGTTTCCGTTGCGCTGCGTGGGTGGCTTCCAGCGCACCAGGAGGTGGGAGGAGGAGTTGGACGTGGAGATGACCTCTTGGGGCACCGTGGGTGCTGGGGGTGGGAGGACAGTAGAACTCAGGGTTGTCTGCCAGGATCCCCTCTCTCTGGGGTCCAATTCTCCCCTTCTTCCAAGGAACAGGTGGCCCTAAACTCAGCTTCCAGAACCTGGTTTTCTGTTTTGTCTTTCCTGTCACCAAAGGCCCTTGAGTTCCTGTAACTCTTCCTCTTAGCTGTGTCCCAGCCCAGACTCCCCCGGGACCCAGGCAAATGCCCTGATTTCTTTCTGGGACTCAAGTGGGTGGGCCCGCAGCCCCCAGCGCCAGGCACTCGCTGTCCCGGCCGCCCGATTTCTGGTGCCCCGCGTCCCGCAGCTTCACCAGGCCTTGGGGACCTGACTCTCACTGCCTTGGAATGCTTCTGCATACCTGCAGGCAGGGTGCGCAGGTAGACGATGGGGCTCTGGGCCCCCGGATGGGGGCTGTCCTCTGCGGTGGTCAGCGTGATGGCCCGCACAAACACTGCATACTGTGTCCAGGGTTTGAGGGGGGCCAGGGTCACCCCTGGCTCCTGGGTGCGACTAAGGGGCAGCTCCACATCCAACAGGTTCCAGCTCTGGGCGCCACAGGCATCTGGACCCACGTGCTCCGTGGCATTCTGGAATGGGCTGAAAACACCCCAGCACGGGAGCTGAGGGGCAGCTCAGCCCCAGCCCCAGGATTCAGCACCCCCTCCTCTCTGGTCACCCACAGAATGTCCTTGTCATCCTTCTGGGATGCATGAGGGCACAGCCACGACTCCAGCCACCTGTGAGACCCTGTGGGGGCTCTGTGGCATCTGTGCTGCCAGCCGAATTGGGGATGAAATATCTCTCCATCGCCGGCAGGAAATGTCGAGCTTTAGTCTCTGTAAATATTCTGAAAGCCTTGCCTGGTACAATAAGAGGTCTCCTTCCTAGGGACAGTAAGTAGCGGGGTTATCCTAACTCATCCCAAGTGCATTGCCTGGAACCACAAACCGGACCACTCTCTTTCCAAGGACACTGTGTCTTCACCTGGGCCCATGAATGGGCTCTGGCAGTCTAAAAGCCTCCAACACTATAGACAACATTTTGTATGTGTGTGGTTCTCTAGAGAGAGGGTTCCTAGCTTCCAGCAGCTTCTCACACATGTCCATAATCCCAAAAGACCGAAATCCACAGCCACAGAGAAATGATCGGGGCCAGAAGCCCCCAGTGAAGGAGGCCAGGGCAGGGACAGAGGGCATGGCTTGGGGAGGGACCAGTGGCACTAGGGGCAGAGGAGGCTGGTCCCTGGGGGAGACGAAAGTGGAGCCCACAAGGGAGAGACCGAGCTAGAACACGGGGAACAGCGGAACAATCTACGAATGTTCTTGTGGGTTTCTTTGGAGGGAGGGGAGTTCAGGCTGAGCCAGGGACAGAAGGAGGCTGTGGTGGTGCGGAGCTTGAGGCCTGCCTGGAAATGCCTGTCCTCGCTGAGACCCAGAAGCGAGATAGCCGAGGAGCAGGAGGGGGGTGCAGAGTGGATGCTATGGAGCGCATCACACTGAATAGACCTGGGTCTGCTCAGAGCCAGCATCAAGCCAGCGTGCACGGGGTGTGTCTTTGCGAGAGCCCCGCCACAGCTACACTGCCAGGCAGTGATGGCAGGAGAGCTCCCCGATGCTCTCTGCCCTTTGAGCCCCGAGGCAGCTGTGTAGAGTTGCGCAGATTGTGAACTGCACAAGCCGGAGGGTGTCACCGCTTTTTAAAGTGTGATCTGTGAACCAGCAGCTTCGGCAACACCTGGGAGCTTGTTAGAAATGCAGATCACCGGACCCCACTCACCACTGAGCACTAGCTGAATGTGACTGTAGAAGTGGGGCCCAGGAATCTGCATTCAGCAGGTGCTCCTGCTCCCCATGGCAGAGACCTTCTCTCTCTCTCTCTCTCTCTCTCTCTCTCTCTCTCTCTCTCTTTTGGACAGGCAGAGTGGACAGTGAGAGAGAGATAGAAAGGTCTTCCTTTTCTGTTGGTTCACCCCACAATGGCTGCTGCAGCCGTTGCACCACGCTGATCTGAAGGCAGGAGCCAGGTGCTTCTCTTGGTCTCCCATGCGGGTGCAGGGCTCAAGGACCTGGGCCATCCTCCACTGTACTCCTGGGCCACAGCAGAGAGCTGGCCTGGAAGAGGGGCAACCGGGACAGAATCCGGCGCCCCGACCGGGACTAGAACCCGGTGTGCCAGTGCCGCAGGTGGAGGATTAAGCCTAGTGAGCCGTGGCATCAGCCATAGAGACCTTCTCTTACCACTGATGCCTAGGTCAGTCTTGGCCATTCAAGTGGGCCTTCAACCCACTGGCTTCCGTCCTCCCTCCTCCAGGGCCAAGCCCTGGGCTACTGGTCAGCTAAGACCTCTCATCCAAGTCAGGTGGCCCCATCTTTTACCCACATACAGGGAGAATATGCCTGCCCTCTAGCTGGTCATCCAGAGGCCACTTACTTTCCCTAAGGAGACCTCTTTTGATTCTTATCCACATTTTTGGAGCAGTCCTTCCTGCGGTCTAACCACTATCCTTCCTGCTAGGGTCAGTCCACTCCAAAGAAAAAGAGCAGCTGGTCCCCACCAGTCCCTGTGCCCTCCCTCCTTCAGGCTTTAATGCAACAATGGCAAAACTCATAAAATTGGCCAAATTAGTGGGCACTCCCCAAACCGCTGCTGGGGCAGGAGCATGTGGTCAGTAGGAGCATTAGCATAGTGAATTGGAGCTTCATTATCAGAGCCTTCCCAGCAGAATGGCTTTCCTGGGCTCCCAGAAGTCATGACCCTTCCATTCCACTTGGCTGGGAAACTGAGGCTCGGAGGAATGAGGAGAGTGAGGGCAGAGAGCTAGCCGTGACTCAAATGTTCGGGTGCGGCTTGGGCATCCTGATTCCTCAGCTTCCCACGGCCCTGCTGAGCTCTGCCCTCACCTGTCCAGGGAGGGTGGGGGCGGGGCAGAATTGGTTTGGCCCCGCCCCGAGTGGCCCCGCCCCCGGTACTCACGACTCCTTGTAGTATACGATGAAGCTGAGCAGGTCGCGGGCCTCCTGAGGCTCGTAGCGCTCCCAGCGGAGCAGGATGCGGTTTGCCTCCGTCACGTTGGACACGAAGCGCAAGGTGCGAGTCTGGCCTGGGCGGGAGGTGAACACCTGCTCGTAACGACCCTGTCTCTGGCGGGGGACCCCGCCCCGACCCCGCAGAGGCTTTGCCCCTCCCCCGCCCCCAGTGGCTGCTGTGTTTGAGTGTGTGCGGGCTCGGGCTTTGGGGAGGGGCCCGGGCTCACAGGAGGCGCGGTCCCCGTTGGTGCGCGGGTTGATCTCAGCCTTGTTCTGCCGCCCTCTCGTGCCTGTCACCTCCTCCAAGCGGTAGATGAGCTCCAGGCAGAGGCGCGGGTTGAAGGCAAAGTAGATCTTGCCCACCGGGATGGTGAGGCCAGTGGCCACCCAGGACCCCAGCTGCTGTAGGTTCTGGTTGTCCAGCACATACAGAGTGTAGTTCCTGGGGGGAGGCCAGGGGACCTTGCTCTGCAGGGAGGTGGGGGCAGGGGGCGGCCAAGGGGATGCTTATGGGCTCTTTCCAAGAGGGGCTGTGCTGGGGGGAGGGAGGGCACTCAGCCTCTAGCCGGAAGGAGTTGTACACACATTCTGCGATGTGGGGCAAGCCACCCACCCTCTCCATTTTCCTCAACAGTGACATGGGGTCAGTAAGCTCCCTGGCCGCTTCCTTCCTTCATCTCGCTTTAACTGAGCATCTGCTAGGTGCCAGGCTGTGCTGGTTTGGGGACACCACCAGGGAGTGGTGGTACATGCCTCTCCACCCAGGGTGTGGGCACCTTGGGGCCCACGAGAAGCCATGGAAACCACTTGACTGGGTGGTTAAGACGTTTATTTGATTTTTATTTTTATTTTTTTTTTAGCTTTATTTTTTGACAGGCAGAGTGGACAGTGAGAAAGAGAGACAGAGAGAAAGGTCTTCCTATTCTGTTGGTTCACCCCGCAATGGCCGCTGTGGCCGGTCCGCTACAGCTGGTGCACCGCGCTGATCCGAAGCCAGGAGCCAGGTACTTATCCTGGTCTCCCATGGGGTGCAGGGCCCAAGCACTTGGGCCATCCTCCACTGCACTCCCTGGCCACAACAGAGAGCTGGCCTGGAAGAGGGGCAACCGGGACAGAATCCAGCGCCCCAACTGGGACTAGAACCTGGTGTGCTGGCGCCGCAGGCGGAGGATTAGCCTATTGAGCTACGGTGGCACCAGCCGTTTATTTGATTTTGAAAAGTCCCGTTACCTTATGGGTGGGCCTTGACAGGTGGGTAGTAGGAACGGGTTTCAAACTCTGGCAGTGTCACTGTGCAGCTGAGGGGATCGGGTGACTGTAGCCCACTTTTACAGCTACCTTCAACCACAACTTACGTTGCATCTACTGCATTAAAAGTAAGATTCACAAAAGCCCTAAGCAAGCAGTCATGTTAGCCCCATTTTACAGATGGGAAAACCGAGGAGTTAAGTAACCTATCCACAGCCAAACAGCTAGTACACAGAACTGGCCCCAGAGCCCTTTCTCTTTAACATTCTTTTGGGACAACTGGGGGGAGGGGTGTGAGAGACTGGGCTGGTCGGAGGCCTGATCTGACCCCTTACCCGTCCACCATGGCATCCCCCCGGATCAGTTTGAGGTTCTTGAAGAAGCTCAGGGATACGAGGGCAAAGGAGTGCTTGATTTTGAGGAAGCCGGTGATGGTCTCGACCAGCCCCAGGCTGCGCTGCAGCTCCGGCTCCAGGTTGTCTGGGGGGCGGGGGAGGGGAGGGAGACAGGGCTGGAGCAGGAACACGGAAGCCTCTGGGCCCACAGGGCAGGGGTGTGGGTGGAGAGGGGCCCAGGGGGTGGGGCCTCGGGGTTGGGACCCAGGGTGGGGGGAAGCGGAGCTCCATCGGCCTTCAGAAAGGGTGTGGGCCCAAAGTGGGTACTAACAGCCCTGCCGCAGGTTGAGGATGAGGCTTCCCTCCACGTGGGTGCAGCCCGCCAGGTCCTGTGCTGCTTGGATGGAGTCGATGGTCTTGGTGCCTACCTTGCACTCTTTGGGACACAGCCCCTCACACTTGTGGCAGAAGATGCTAGCAGGGGCAAGCAGATACGTGAGCTTCGGACCAGTGTGGGCCTCCTCACTGCTCCAAAGGGAGCCTCCCCCATCCACCCCACCCCACCCTCACCTGCTGCCATTACGGGTGAAGCCTGGGGGGCACTGCGCCAGGCAACTGCCTTGGTGGATGCCGAAGGTGGAGGTGCGGCCAGGCACGGCGCGCAGGCTGGCGCAGTCCTCGGCCGTGACACAGCGCCAGGACTCATGCTGGTAGGTACCTGGAGGGCAGGCGCGGAGGCAGGCACCCTGGAAGTAGAGGTGGCGGCAGGCTACACAGGCACGAGGGTCTTCAGGCTGGCTGCAGCCCCCCAGGCACTCGGCGTGGCAACACTCGCCCCTTGCTGTGCAGGCCAGCCCGTGGGGGCAGGGACACACTGTGGGCAGAGTGCTGGGTTAGGCCTTGCCTGTGAACCCTCAGTCCTGTCCGCCCTTTCCAACCCTGGCCCCTTCCGTGACGCAATCTCTGAACCCAAGTCCCTCCAGGTCACGGCTGCCCACTGTTTCTGCCAAGGACCGCGGCCCTCTCTGTAGCTCTCTGCCTCCCACAGTGCCTAGTCGGGCTCAGGACAGCACAGTGACCTTGTCCATCAGGGTTGCTGCTCTGCTGCCTGCTGTCCTGTCTAGGCCTGGTGCCCAGATCACGGCTGGGCACAATGCCAGGCTGGGCCAGCCGGCCTCTCCTGAGCAGCCAGGTCCAGGGCACGGTGGGCCTGGGGATGTGTGGCGGGAGGAGCCTCCTCCAGTCACCAGCCTGCCATGTTGCGGCCCCGGTATCGGCGGCAGCAGCAGCAGCAGCAGCAGCGGGTGGGTTTTGGAGCTGGGGGCCCAGTAGCCTGGAAACTGCACAGTGGCAGCTGGATGTCTGCGGGAGCCAAGTATGGGGCGGGGTCGGCCGGGGCGTGTTGACACTGCACACAGGAGGACGTGCAGCAGCTGTGTTTACAGCCAACAGGGAGGCTTCGGGGAGGTGGGCTCAGCAGATACACCAGGGATCTGGTTACCCTCTCCCGCCCTGCTGCTGCAGGCCCGGGACGGGAGGAGAGCTGGCCTTCAGGAGCTCTGTGCAAAAGACCTCCAGGTTGGGAGACCCCAGATCTGCTCCCAGTTTCTGAAAGGTTTTCCTCTCCTCCTCCCCAACTTTCACTTCCTCCACCTCCAACCATCCCTTTCCTCCACTCCCTTTCTTTTCTGTATTTGAGAGGCAGAGAGTGAGCAGGCATCTCCCATCTGCTGATTCACCCCTCCCCCGCAGTGTCCCCAACAGCTATGACTGGGCCAGGCCAATGCTAAGAGCTTGGGGACTCAAGCTAGGTCTCCCACACAGGTGGCAGGGACCCAACCACCTGCTGCCTGCCCAGGAATGCATGAACAGGAAGCTGGACTTGGGAGCAGAGCGGGGACTTGAACCCAGGCACTCCAATCCATCTGGCACACGGGCATCGTAACCTGGTGGTGTCCTAACTGTTAAACACGTGCCCCCTCCCTTCCTTCTGTTTTCTCCCCATGTCTCTTACGTCCCAGGGAAGATGCCCTTCACACACTTGCCCTCACCTCTCTTGTTCTTCATCCTGTGCCTCCTCCTTCCTCTCCCATGCAGCTACCACCTCCCCGTTCCAACACTGCCAGCTCACCTTGGACCACCTGCACTGTGGCCACTTTTATTAGGAACATAGAATGGCTGCCCTGGAGGCTGGCGCTGTGGCGTAGTAGGTTAAACCTCTGCCTGCGGCACCAGCATCCCATATGGGCGCCGGTTCGAGTCCCGGCTGCTCTGCTTCCCATCCAGCTCCCTGCTAACGGCCTGAGAAAGCAACAGAAGATGGCTCAAGTTCTTGGGCCCCTCCACCCACATGGGAGACTTGGAAAAAGCTCCTGGCTCCTGGCTTCAGATTGGCACAGCTCCTGCTGGGTAGTGAACCAGCAAATGGCAGATCTCTCAGTCTCTGTCTCTCCCTCTCTCTCTGTAACTCAGCCTTTCAAATGAAATAAATAAATCTTTAAAAAAATAAAAAAGGAATTGCTGCCGTGGTTCCGGTACCGCTCTGATACCCTGTGGAGTAACTCATTGCTCACAACCACCCTGTGGTCATTTTACAGAAGCGGGAGCTGAGGCCCGCAGAGGTGGGGAAGCTTTTATCTACCCAGGGCAGGTACTTAGAACACACTCTGTGGGCCATACGAAATGAGCATCTGCTATAGACTTCTTGAATTTTGAGTCCTGCCTGTGGCTGCTTTGGCAGGGCCAGTCCAGATGATTTTGCGGGCCTTGTAGGGCCCACAGGCTGGACAGTGCCCACCCCTCAAGGAACAGAGCCAGTGAGCAGCAGAGCTGAGACTTGAACCCAGGCCATCGGGCTTTGCGCTTAGCTGCTGCCCTAAACTGTTTCTGGCACCACCTTGCACCCGTATGTTCCTGCCCTCTTCCCTCCACGCCCACCTGTACCTGTGGTATACCTACTCCACGACTACTTCAGCTTGTCTGTGCTTACTCCATGGCTGCCTTATGCTACATTATTTATTTAACTTTTCTGAGCTTCAATTTCTTCATCTGCGAAATGGGAATAACAATAGGCTATGCCCCATAGGATGAGTGACGGTTAAAAACCAGTGGCAGCAAAGCACGTGCCCACACCATCCTACTCCACACGTACCCGGTCCCATCTGGCCCTGTCTTCCCTGAGGTCCTCCCCTTCGTGTTCTGTGCCAGTGCCTACCTCTCTGGCAGTGGCTGGAGGTCCAGCACCTGTAGTCTGTGTGCCCACTGAAGGTGGTTCTGGCACAGGGCTCACCAGAGGCCCCCAGCACACCCGGGCACACGTCGGCACACTCTTCGCCCAGTTTGTTGCCCACAATGTGATTGGCACCGGGCGCAGGCTGCAGCAGGCCCCAGTCGATGGTGGAGAGGTGGCAGAGCTCCTGGTTCTTCTCCACGCGCACCGCCCCACGCAGCACGGCCCCCAACGCTGGCAGCCCCACGTCGCGCAGGTGCGGCATCTCGAAGATAACCAGCGCGTAGCCCAGGAAGAGGCGGGCGCCGCGGATCACCGCCAGGTTGGGGAAGAGGTCCCGCAGGCTCTCCAGGCCGTAGACACGGAAGAGCAGCAGGTAGTCCGTGACCTGGGTGAGGCGGGGGAAGCTGAGGCGGCGGAAGTCCTCCCCCGTGGCCGTGAACATGAGCAGGATCTGCAGGTGGCCCTCCACCACGCTGCAGTTCTCCAGCCGCCGCAGCTCTGCCACCTCGGAGCGGATGTCCAGGCTGGGGCACACTGCGGGCATACGGGGAGGGGAGGGGACACTGAGTGGGGGAGCCGGGCTCTGCTGGGTGGGTGGCCTCCTCCCTGGGCCTGGGCAGCTCACCTGTGGCTGGTGAGATCTCTGCTGCAGGAACCACCACGGGCAACAGGGAGCCCCCAACATTCCCACCTAAACCTGCTTCCCCGTCCCGGTTCCTGCCATGTCATGCTTGTAGGCAGGCTCCAAACCTAGCGTCATCCTGACTTCTTCCCCTCGCTGACCCTCGCATCCTGTCTTAAAGCACATCCAGAGTCTAAGCCCTTGTTCCTGCCTTCGCTCTCGGGCTGTCTCCCCACTGCCACCTGCATCCCCGCTGATCTTCACCCCAAACACAGCTGCGTCACATCCTCCCCTCCCTGAAACGGACTCCCTGCCTGTCCCAGCTGTAGCCCCTCCTCCAGCAGGGAGGCCCTGCACAATTTCGGCCCTTGGAACCTCTCTGATTTCATCCCCAGTCTCCCTTCCGCACCCACATAGAGCCTTGTGCTGTCCTTTAGACATGCCAGCCAAGCTCCTGCCTCAGGGTCTCTGGACTTCTGTTCCTTCTTTCAGGATCACCTTTCCCGCTGCAGAGTTCACTCACCCTGGTAAGGCTGTGCTCAAATGTCACCTGCTCAAGGAGACTTCCTCTCATGGCCCTACTTAAAATTTCTGCTTGGAGTCTGTTTTGGGGTAGCCAGTAAAGCCGCTGTCTGCGGTGCCGGCATCCCATATAAGCACTGGCTCGAGTCCTGGCTACTCCACTTCCCTTCTGGCTCCCTGCTAATGTACTTGGGAAAGCAGCAGAGATGGTCCAAGTGCTTGGGCCCCTGCACCCACCTAAGAGACCTGGAAGAAGCTCCTGGCTCCTGACTTCAACCTGGTCTGGCCCTGGTTCTTTTGGCCATTTGGGAAATGAAGCCATGAATAGATCTCTCTCTCTCTCTCTCTCTCTCTCTCTCTCTCTCTGTGTGTGTGTGTGTGTGTGTGTGTATGTGCAGCTCTGCCTTTCAAATAAACAAAAGCAATCTTTAAACAATTTTTCTACTTGGAGCCCATATTGTGGTGTAGAAGGTTAAGCCTCCACCTGCAGCATGGCATTGCATATGGGCGCCGGTTCGAGGCCCTGCTGCTCTGCTTCCCATCTGGCTCCCTGCTAATGTGCCTGGGAGGACAGTGGGGAATGGCCCAAGTGCTGGGGCCCTTCCACCCATGTGGGAGACCCGGAGGAAGCTCCTGGCACCTGGCATTGGCCTGGCCCAGCATGGGCCACTGTGGCCATTTGGGGAGTGAGCTGGTGGATGGATAACCTCTGTCTCTTTCTCTCTCTATTTCTGTCTTTCAAATAAATAAATAAAGATTTTTTAAAATTCTGCTTTATTTTTCTCTAATTCTTGAAGCTTGCTAATAAATAATTCACTTTATTTCTTCTGCTGATTGTAAGCTCCATAAAGGCAGGAATCTCGTGTAATCTGTTGCAGTGTCCTGATGCCCAGTGTGGTGCCTGGTACAAAATCGTACTCCGTCAGTGTCTGATGAATGAATGAATGAATGAATGAAGCCCAGGACTGGGAAGCAGCAGTCTGAGCTTCCTGCTCCTCTCCCAGTCCGACGGGAGCTGGAAGGGACGTCACAGCTCCCCGTTGCCTTAGGCTCATGCCTCGATCCCTCAGCCTGACATTTCGGGGTGTAGACAAGCTGGTGTCCATTCGTATCTCCAGCCTCAGAAGGACCCCTCAGTCCTTATCCTGCAAACCTCAGGCCAAGCCTCCTCCTGCTGACGCCGAGTTAACGGCTTTCCTCCAGGCCCGGCTGTCCCGGCTCAGCACTCGCTCCCAACACTGCTGTCCATCTCTGCCACCCCTTCCAGGGAGGCGGGGGTCTCTACATAGCCAGCACTGTGACCACTGGGCACTCAGGGGCTCATCTGGCTTCCAAGTCCATGACTCCCGGGAGGACCCAGGTGTGCCTGGGTTTTTCGGACCCACAACCCAGCTCCACCTCCTCTTCTTTCCCCTGAAGGCGGCTGGATGCCCGGATTCACTTGCTCCCAAGGGGACCTTCCACAGCTCCCCACGGTAGAAAATTCAAGTCTGAATTCTTCAGCCTGACGCTCAGGTTCTGCTAATCTCCCCCCCGTCTCTACTCCCTTGTTTCCCACCCAGTGTTCCAGCCACCCTGACCAGGCTAGCCCCCGTCCCCTGCCCCCTGCCCCCTGCCCCCCGTGGTTTGTTAGAAGGGGTCTGGGCAGGCAAGGCTGGCTCCCCGGGCTTCCTTCAACCTCCCCCCATTGTCAGTCAAGGTCCTGAGCCTGGCCCTGTGCAGCAGCTCTGTGTGTGTGTATGTGTGTGTGTGTATGTGTGTGCCCACGCACACACGCACACAAAGGAGAAGAGAGAATGAGAAAACACTTCTATGCCCTCCATGTGAAGGCCAATCAGGCTCTGTGAGGCAGATGGGGGGTTCTCTCCGGCGCCCACTTCCCATCATGCCCCTGCCTCTCCAGGGCTCCCCTGATGGGAGTCATTTGGAAAAACAAATCTAAGACCTCAGCAAATTAACCCCTGACTTCCCTCAGAACCTGGCTCTGTAGAGAGCTGCACTGGGAATGCGACATCTGGATGCCCTGACCAAACAGCAACCCTCCACCCCCGCCGCAGGACAACGCTTCCGTCCTGACAACTGTGCTCCTAGCTGGCATCTGCTGTGCCCTGTCCTGGCTGGGCGGGTTCCATTGGGGGGAGGGGCGTTATGTCTTGCAGGCAGACCCTCCGTGACTAGCACCCATCAAGGAACCCCCTCCTCCAAGCCATCTGCATCACTCCTGTCCCTCCAAGCTCCCAGTCTGAGGGGCATGGTGGGACACCCCCCTCCCAGGCTGACAGCACTGGATTCCTGAGTTTCTCAGTCTGGAGGGGAAATGGGGAGGGGGCACAGCCTGCCCTCCTCCCCCTCTGAACCTTTCACCCTCAGCTCTTCTCCCTCTCCCAGCCAAGCTCCCACGAGGGTCCTTCTGTCTCCACGGTCCCACCCCATTCCCCAGATCCGACTCAGAGGCAGTGTGGAGCCCGGGAGACAGGCCCTGAGGCAGCCAGGCCTCCCCCTGCCTGGGAGCCATGCGCGGAGGGTGGGGACCACCGGGCAGGGCTCAGGCCGCAGTCTCACTTTACTATTCAGTCGTCCGAGCCTCAGTTTCTGAGGCGTACAATGAACTCAGCTACTCCGCAGTGCCCGGTGCTCGGCCACCTGCCCCACAGCCCCTCCCTAGCAGTGACCTCTACTCACAGCCCCATTCAGCCTCTGCTGGGACCAGGACTGCACGAGCCAGTTGCGGAGTGGACGACACCCACTCAAGCCCGTTTTGAAGTCCTCACCTCCATAGGAGCTGGGAGAAAACACGTTCAGGTGGGGAGGACTAGCTGTTCCTCCCCAGGAAGGGGGAGAGGAAAGAGGGGAGAGGGCCAGGGGATGGGAGGGGAGGGGGTTCCAGAGCTAACCCCAGTCTGCACGCTGCAGTGCTGAGCAAGTAGACTTCCTCTGGCTGCGGGCACAGTTTGGCCTCCTAGTTGGCTGGGAGGCAGATGGGATTGTGGGAGACAGGGCTGGGGACTCACCCTCTAGAGTGTCGAGGCCAAATCCCAAGGAGAGAAGGATCCCAAGCAGGCATGCTCCCAAGGGCCACGGGCTGAGCACTGCCATGGTTCCCCGTCTGGCTGGTGCCCAGTCCTGGCTGTCCTCCAGGTGGCTCCGGGGAGGTAAAGGACCTGACAGTTCCTAAGGGACACAGAGACCCAGGCCACAGAGAGGAGGGAAAGGCCAGGAGCTAAGACAAGGAATGCCGCACAAAGAGTGCGGGAGAAAGAAATAAGACAGGGAGTACAAAGACAGTGCCGCTGGACACAGCCTCAGTGTAAGTCCGGAGACAGAGGTGGGACAGAGATGCACACGGTGACAGGGCAGCCAGAGGAAGAAGTGACACAGGGCTCAGAGCCAGAGGCAGGCCAGAAGGCCTGGCGACCCCGAAGGCGGTGCAGAAAGAAGCCCCGCGTGCGCTCCCGGGGAGCGCCGAGAGCAGCCCCGGGGCGCGGGGAACACGACTGGGAGACACTCCCCGGACCCCGCGGGGCGCGCTCGGCTCGCAAGCGCCAGCTGGCAGGGCTCTCTGCCGCCGTTCCCGGGGCGGGCACGCAGGGGCCGCGCCCAGCTCCCGCCTTGCCCGCCCCCACTCGAAACGGATTGGTTTGCTGGGCCCTCTCCGTTCTCTCCGCCCCTCCCGGCAAGCCAAAATATTTAGCCTGACAACTGAGGGTGGACAGGTCTGTTGGGGAAATAAGGCCAGAACGCGGCGGGGGGAGGGGAAGAGAGGCAAAGAACGGAGCTCCCCAACCCCGCTGCGGCCGTGGTGGGGCCTCTGCCATCGCCACCCCGCGCCCGCCGCTCGCCTCTTCCGCGGAGATGCGGCGGCTCTGGATGCGGCCACTCGGGCTCTGACACCTGCGAGCTAACTTCTGGCAGCCTTGGCTAGCGCAGCGAGCTCCTAGAAACCTGGCCAGAACGTGGGCAGTGTCTTGGAGCCTTTCTCGGCCAGGAGGCCCCCCTGGCCATTCTTTCTGGGTCCCTTGGCGCGAGCCTTGGTTTTCGCCACGTACCCCAGTCCTGGCCAGGATCCCCTTGAGGAACGCGATCACCCCGCGGGGATCTGCCTGTCTGGTCACCTTCCTGGTGACCCGGACTGCTCAGACGTTCCTGTGTGCCCCAGCCCCGGGGAATCGGGAGACCAGGGGTGCTGCCTGAGCTCGCGCCCTGGGGCCCTTGTTTGCCCCTCCCCTCGGCAGAGAGATCGGGCCCTTGTGGCCACCAAGGCCCGCAGGAAGCCCTGCGTGCTGGGAATCCCGGTACTTTCCAGGTGCGCGGCCTCCGAGGGCCGGCCGGTCCCCAGCTCCACCCTCGGGCGGCTCCCGCGGCCGAAGGGCTAAGAGAAGACCTATTAATTTCTCGGCGCAGAAATCGATGCTCTTGTCAAGGCGGCGATCGATGCCAGCTCTGCTCGGCCTGGTCCTGCCCGGCCGGGCACCGAGGGCTGACGCTGGGACCCGTGGCATGGCGCAGAAAGGGCTGCAGACCGCACCCCCGCATCCAACCACCCAACCTGGGTCCCAGGCTTGCACCTTAGCGCGCAGGCTTCTAGCGCCACCCTGTGGCCTTTGCTGGACGGCAGGGCCTCGGCTCCCTGACCCCTTCCCTTTCTCTGTCCCTTCTGTTTTGCAATTGGTCCTTTTTTGGGGGCTCCTCTTCCTTTTCTTCCTAGGGTTCAGAGCGTTTCACCCAAATTACCCCAAATGACGTCACTCCCACAGACGAGCACACCGCGAGGCTGGGGGCTGTCTACGCGGACCTGGACGGCTCAGTCATCTCCCCTCCCCCCAAAATGTCAAAAGGCAGCTGCTTGAGGCTGGGAAAAATAATGTATCAACTTCCCCGTGCCCCCACGGCCAGCCAGAGACCTTCCGCGGCGGCCCCTCCGCCCCTCCCAGACCTGGGGGAATCTTGAGCTACAAGGCTGGCGCTGCGGGCTCCCGAAAGCCGAGGCGGCGGAGGTGCGGGAGTTGGAGAGAAGGGGCGGGGCGGGGCCGGGCGGGGGCCGCTGGCTCCGCCCTTTCCTGGCGGCTGGGTCTTTAACACCGCCCCGCGCACATGTGCGGGGAGGCCCGGCAGCCGCAGCTGGGAGCTCACAGACGGCGGCCGGGCCGGGGTAAGGCGAGCGCCGCCGCGATGCTGCGAGGCGGACGGCGCTGGCAGCTTGGCTGGCACAGCCAGGCGACGGGGCCGGGCACCTTGCTGGCGTGGCTAATGCTGGCATCCGCGGGTGCCGCGCTCTGCCCCGATGTCTGTTGCCCCCGCGGCCCCTCGGGGCTGCTCTGCACCCGTCCTGGAGCCCTGGACAGGCTCCGCCACCTGCCGGGCATCGAGAACCTGACAGAGCTGTGAGTGTCCGGCGGGCGAGGGGGCGCGCGGGGACGGGCGGGCGTCGCCGAGCCCCGAGGGCGCGGACTCACCGCCTGCCTGCTGGGTCAGGCGCGGCGGGAGGCTGGCCCTGCGTGTCTTTTGGCGGGGTCTCGGCGGTCCTTCGCCGCGGCCGCCCCTGCTAGCCCCGCCGTCATACCTGGCTGCCGCCTAGGGCTCAGGCCAGCTGTGGCGCCAGGTTCGGGGAGAGCGAGCGCATTTTCCGTGGACCAGGTCTGAGAGAGCCCGGCTATCTTAAGGCACTTTCTGGAGCTCAGCCAGGAGCCCGAGCTCTGCTCCATTGGAGGCGGGGGATTGGTCGCGGAGACCCTCTCAGTTTGGCACCCCTACCATCTTTTCCTTTTTCTAGGGGGCATGCTAGCCCCACGCCCTTGTCATGACCGGGCTCTCCAGGCCCTTGCCCTGGGACTGGGAATTGAGCTGGGATTGGCGGAACCTAGTGGCTCCTCTCCCGGTTTCCACCATCCCTTGAATCCAGGATGCCTTGGGTTGGATGTGGGGAATGGGACCCCCTCCTGGCTTCTCCAGCCGCCCCCCTCCAACCATCTCCCTTTCCATCCTTGTCTCGACTTGGGGCAGAGTCAGGCCTTTGCTGAGAGCCCCCCGCCCAGCCCCCTCCGCCCGCTCCCCTTGCTGCCCGCAGCCCAGGGGCATCTGCAGCGTTTTGCACTACTCTGATATCCTGCAGCCATTTGCCACCAAATACTCTGCTACTTTCTAGCGGCTGGGGAAACCTATGGGAGTATGCTGTAATAACTGGCCCCGAGGTACTGAAGCATCACAGAACAGTGGCTGGAAAATACTCAAGCATTGCCAGCAGGACTCCTGGCAGCAGGGACGAGCTGCTAGAAAAATCCTGCTCCTGTGGCCTGGGGCTAAGAAGGTGGACAAGGGACCCTGGCCTTGTGCAGGGAGGGGCTGGAAGGTGTCCGAGGCGGGGACTACCACCACTGTCTGGAAGTTACTTGAGCAGCCTGTAATAATTGGCACGGACTTGCTCGGGCATCTCGTGGTAATTAACGGGAAGGTACTCAATAGCTCTCTCTAATGGCCCTGGGGAGGCTAGGAGCAGAGGAGATGGCCTTGTCTCGGTCTGGGCCTAGGTCCCTGCATGCTGGGAGGGGACCTGAAGCCTGTCCAGTCATCGCCCCGGGCGTCCCAGTGGGACCCCGGTTCCCTGTCACTGCTCTCATCTCCCAGTGCCCTTCCAAGCCCCAAGAAGAATAAACGCCTGGGGGAAGGGGTGGACAGTCCAGGGCCGGGGGCTAGGAGGTATGCAGGGGGTGAGCTGAGATGTCCCCCTGGGTGGACCAGCAGCCCCCTCCCTCCTCCCTCACCCTCAGAGCTAACGAGGAGATAATGGACTCCAATAGACAGATTGATTACGAATCCAAACGAATGGGGCAGCCTTGAGGCAGCCTTGCGCAAGCTGCCTGACAGCCTGCACACACCCAGCCCGCCACCGCCACCACTGCTTCCCAGCTCCCCGGGCCCCAGCGGCCTGAAACCCTGCGGTCAGGTGCTGTAGGGTGGAGAGGACCAGGAGCTGCCCTCCTTCCGGGTCTCTAGAGGTTGCTCCCTGAGCCTCAGGGCACGGAGGACCTGATTCTTGCCTGGCCTCTTGGGATCAAGGCTGGGAAGGGGGGCTGGGAGGAGGAAGAAGCTAGTCTTGGTTCCTTTATTTGGTCCTTACTTAGGAAAAGTAAGAGGTAGAGTGGGAGCATTCTGAGAAGCGGCGGTGAGTCAGGGCCCCGGGTGCCCGTGTGAGGGCCACACTGACGTGCAACTTGCAGAACAGCCGAGTGCCCAGGACCTCCCTGGCACACTGGGTGCAGAAGCTAGCCCAGGGCTCCCGCCAGCCCCCAGCCCAGGTGCCTGCTTGCTCTGCTTTCTTTTCTGTCTTCCTATCTGGCCTTCTCTGCCTCTTTGTCCTTATCTCTCTGTCTCTGTCTCCCTTTCCTTATCCTTCTCCTCTCTCTCTCTGCCAGTCTCCCCCTATCAGCTTCTCTTTCTCACTCTCTCTGTTTCTGTCTTGCTCTCTTTGTTATTCTGCCGTCCCTTCCCATCCCTCTCTCGCCATGTGAGCCAGCCAGTTCACTCCCACTCCATTCTCTCATTCCCCTTCTCCTCCTGCCTGGGCCCCTCCTGGGGCAGGGAGGGGTCCGGGGGTCCATGCCTGACAGCTTCTATGCTTCTTGCTTGCTCTGCCCAATGGGCAGGGGTGGAGGGAGGAAGGGGTTGATGCTTGAGTGTGGGAAGGGGCCAGAGGCTTTGAGGAGGTGGAGAAGGTGGAGTGTGTGTGTGTGTGTGTGTGTAGTGGTATGAGTGGGCCCTGGGCAGGCGTGATTGGGCACATGCTTGCAGGGACACAGGGTCTCTCCGTGCTGGGTGGGGCAGTGGCAGGGCTGAGCCCAGCCCCTTGTGGAAGCAGGTGTTTCAGCATGACCCCCATTGTTGAGCACACGCAGGGGAGGTCTGGAATGAAAGCAGAATGCCCCGCTGAGCATGCGCTCATGTTGTTTGTGAATGCATGTGCATACACTCCCATGTGTGTGAAGGCATGCACACGTGACATATGAGTCTTGCCTGCATATGGCTCCATGTGTGAGCATGCATGTGTGCGTGCGTCTGTTCCTGCACACATGTGTTTGTGTGTGACATGCGAGGAGCTCTGTCTGTGTGCATGTGGGTACACATGTGCATGTATGTGCCTGTGTACCTGTGCAAGCTGGTCTGTGTGTGAGCAGAGGCGTGTGTATGTGCATGGTGGGGAGGGAGGTGGATGGTGGGCATGGGACCGCCTGCCCCTGTGACGCCCCTCCCTCTCCCCACAGCTACCTGGAGAACCAGAACCTGCAGCATCTCACGCTCGGTGACCTGAGGGGCCTGCGGGAGCTGAGAAACCTGTGAGAGGCTCAGGACTGTGTGGATGTGGGCTCAGCATGGGGCTGGGGGCACCAGGGGTCAGGGAGGGCTCAGGCTGTGGCCTGAAGGGTGGGTGCGGGTGAGGAAGCTCAGGGTCTGAGAGATCCAGGGTAGCTGGGTGGGGGCAGGACAGGGTGGGAAGGGGTCCAGGGATCACTGCTGGGGACTTGGGGGCTGGGACAACTGAGGCCTGTGGGCTGATCCTCCCGTGCCCCCCAGCGCCATCGTGAACAGCGGCCTCCAATCCGTGGCGACAGATGCCTTCCGCTTCACTCCCCGGCTGAGTCACCTGTGAGTGGCCGGGGCTGGGCCGTGGGGTGGGAGTGGGAGGCACCAAGACTTGGGCCGATAATGGGTCTGGCCCTCCACAGGGAGCAGAAGCCCCTCTCCCCTGGGGCTT